CAATTACCTTATTAAGTAAAATAACTCATTAGAGTACACAGAATTTAGTAGAGAGGAGAGAAATAACTCTTAAATGCTCTGAACCTGTCCTCGTTTCCAAAATGCGTGCATCTTGTCTTCCAAAGAATTTATACATTTTTCTGCTCTTATTTTTAAAATTGATCAGTTAAACAAATAACTACCTTTATTTATTTATTTATTTATTTATTTTTGGAGGTCTCACTACATAGTCCATGCTGTCCTTGAACTCACTATGTAGCCCTGAACTCACTATGTGAGTTCACTCAAGTGTGACATCACATACATATAATCCCAGCACTTCAGGGGCCTCAGGTAGGAGAGTAACAAGTTAGAACTCAGTTTGGGCAACTTAGTGACTTAGTGAGACCACGTGTCAAGATTTTTTAAAAAAATTTTTTTTAAAGGGCTGGGGATGTAGTTAAGTGTGAAGGCTCTGGATTCAATCCCCAGTCCTATTAAAAAAATTCACCACCAAGCCCCCAATACCAGGATTTCCCCGTTAATAGTAACAAAAGTAAGAGGGAACACAGTCAACATTTGTTGAATGGTTTGTCACCAAGAAAGGGAATGAGCTAAATACTGTGTCATCATAGCTAAGCCTCAGAGAACTCAGAGAAAGATGAGCACTAACAGTATTCCTGCTTCCACGGATGGGAAACTGAGGCACAGAGCGATGATATGACATGTCCAAAAGAGTCCAGAACTTCCAATTAAAACTCCTAAATTGTGTAACATGTCTTAAAATTTGGTCCAATGAAATAAATTTGTGTTTTTTTAATATTAAAGAACTTAAGGAATTTAGAATTCTAACAGTACCTCTAACCTAGAGATTAAGGCAGCCATCCATCTCTATTTTCTAGGATTTGTGGGTGGTACAACACTTTACTTAGCAATTTCAATTTCATAATTATGAACCTCAGTAAGTTTGTTGGAAGAAGAAATTCAAATCTCAATATGTTATCAGTTATTCTATGGTCATTTTAATTAATTCATCATTGGGCTTTTATTGAAACAAAGGAGCAATAGGAATAATTTATTTAGGACTTATTATTTTGAGTCAGGACCTGTACACAGTATTAAATTAAATTCTCAATAATGAAAAAAGAAAAAATATGAGAAAAGGAAAAAAATGGAAACAAAGTCTTTGTAAATAGAGAAGGGTGGAGGGGGGGAAGGGAGGGCAGGGTAGGGGGAAAAAAAATAAGAACCAAGATACTCATGTAATGGTACAAGATCCCAATGATGAATGTAACTGTATTTTATACCTAAAATGTGCCAATAAATTTAATGGGGAAAAAAATAAATAAAATTCTCAATAATGGGTATAATTTCCCCATTCTACAGATAAGAATGGTTTAGAGATTAAGCAATTTACTCCAAATCTGTGCATCATTAATGTGGTAAATCCAAGATTAGAACCTAGGTAGCCCTGACTACAAAAACCATGATCTTAGCCTCTGGATTTTGTTTTTGAAAGTCCAACAAACCAACAAATAAATGAAAGGCATGATGGAAGGGAAACACATTTTCGAATGGAATCATCCTTCTTGTCTCATTAGCACTGATGCTCTAAGAAGCCCTGCACGCCAAGTTCCTGTCTGCTGGCTCGGGCTAAAACTGGTCCAGGTAGGTGAGTAGATGCATCCACGGGTCTGAAGATGCCCCTGGCTGCTCTGGGCCCCGTGAACACTCAGATGTCTGGAGTCTGAACTACGCCTAGCTGTGCTTCCAGCCTGACGGTCATTCAGAGGCGGGGTGCACAGAGCCACGGGCTGCTCTGCAGGTGCTGGGATTTGGAAGTGGCTTCATGTGCTCACCAGAGACAGACATTGGTGGTAAACTGTTGGCCAAGCATCCTACTTGTGAGGAAAATGGGCTTCCAGGCCTCAACAAGTTTTCCTTCAAGGCAAGTGCCCTGAGGAGAACGGAGCAGTTCTTGGTGTGGTCACATTGTTCAAGCCAGAGTGCAGGTGCCTGACTGGGAAACAATGGACTCCATTGATGGTGCTGCTGGCCAGGCTCAGGCCAAAGCCAACACCTAGGGCTGTGGGCATGAATGGAAGGCAGCCAGAGGCCTAACCAGGTTGGGGTTCAGGATCAGAAATGCCCTGCTCCTCGTGCTGACAAAAAGAACTGTGGCCACACTAGAGAGCAAACTCCCCACCATGCCTTCCAAGACCTGGTCTGGGAGTTCAGAGGCTTCACCTCCAAAAGTCTGATATTATGGTAGATGCATCTATGTTCATCTTCTTCCACAAATGGAAAACTCTTCAATCTTGAATATGGAAAATTATATAAACTTCACTTTAACAGAAGGTATATTTGGAGAACTGCATTTCTTGCAAAAAAAGAAAGAAAGAAAGAAAGAAATAAGAACCTTAGAAAAAGATTCATTTAAATTTTAAAATTTGTTTTCTAGAGGAAATATAGGTTAGAGGGTAAAATATATCATGGGATTTAAAAATAATTTTTACTGATT